GGGGGGTGGGACTTGTCCACTCAGGAGCAGCCTGGGAGAAGAAGCAGCAGCAGCAGCAGCCCCCCCCCTGGAGAGAGACACACACACGGGGTGGCTGAAGCCGGCCTCCCCCTCCTCCTCCTCCGCTGGGCTCCTCCGAGGCCGGAGCCCTGGTCCCGCAGACTCCCTCCCCTCCCTGGGCCTGGCCAGAGCCGGGGGTCTGAGAGCAGGAGGCGGCACAAGGCGCCACGGGAAGGACAAGCCCTTCAGAGGAACGCGGCAACGAACTACCGGCAGCCCTTTGGAGGGAGGTCTGAAGGCCTCCTGCAGAGCCCCTCGCCCAGCCCCTCAGCGCCCCAGCCTGCCAGGAGTGCCCCACGGAGGGCCGCGGGGGAAACCCTTGGGCCACTCAGGGGACAGCCTCCTACTCACACAGGCCTTCTGTCTGCTCTCAGGAGACCAGCGCCTGCCCTCGGCGTGGCTCTGAGTGGGTGCCGGGGGTGGGGGGGGAGGCCGTGGCAGGGCTCTCTGCTGCCACTCAGGAAGGGGGGTGGCCTCTAGATCTACTGCCACCCCCCCCCTCTGCCTTCCTGAGGACCGCAGGGGAGCGGCAGGCAGCAGCGGTGCAAGCCCCCAAGAACCCCACCCCCACCCCCCGGGTGCTCAACTCCCTCCCGAGGGACGGGCTCCCATCACCACCAGGCCAAAGGGAACCTGCCCAGCGGGAGCCGCCATCGTGCCACTCGGATCGGGCCTCCTGCGAAGGGAGCTCTTCAGGGCCAGGACCGTGGCCAAAGAAAGAGGTGCCTTCTCTGTGAATGGAATCCACTGAATTCACGGCCACAGGAAGTGGTGGCGGCTACAAGCAGGGACGGCTTCAAGAGGGAATTGGATAAGCACAAGGAGCAGAGGTCCATCAGTGGCTCTTCGCCACAAGCGGTATAGATAGGGGCTCTGGGGCAAGGGATGCTGTCTTCTTGGTGCTTGGCCGGGGGGGGGGGGCTCAACATGGAATGTCCTGGCCCCACTGCTGGACCTCCTGAGGGCCCCTGGTGTTTCTGGCCCCTGTGTGACACAGAGTGTTGGACCGGATGGGCCAATGGCCTGATCCAGCACTGGCTTCTCTCTCGTGGTCTTATGTTCTCCAGCACGCATGTGCCGCAGCCCATCCCACAGCACCGCCACAGCCTCCCACGCCAGCAGGCCAGGCGGAAGGAACCTCCCCTCCCCACCCCCCAAGCAGGACGAGCGGCCGGAAGAGGCGGGGGGTTGCCCACCCCTCTGCTATGGGTGGGAGCAGCCTTGCACCCAGCCCCCGGGTGGAAACCTTCGCCCCCCCGTCCCCCTCCTCACCATGCTGGTCTGGAGCTGATCCTCCACAAAGAGCTTGATGCCGGGCAGCACGGCGGACACCGAGTCCTGCAGCGGGAGGAGACGCAACGTGCCCTGAAGGGCCGGAGCAGGGTGGCGGAGCGCTCAGGGACACGTGGGGCCAAAGGACGGAGGGAGACAGGCGAGGGGGCCTAGTGATGCAACGGCACCGCACACAGGGTGGCGCCCCAAGGGCACGGGAGCAGCCGGGCGGCATTAATGCGCGAGGACAGTGCCACACCCGGCTGCCTTTCACGCGGTAAGGAAAGCTTGAGAGGAGTGAATGTCATCGCCCAGAAACAAACATCGCTGCACTTGGCTGGGGACGCTCTTACATGACGCGCATTCAAGAGGCAGGGGAGAGCGAAAGGGGCAGAGCGCCCTCCTCTGCGAGTCTGGAGGAGGAAGAGGGAGGAGGAGGAGGAGGGGCCGAGGCACGCCCAAGGGGTGAAGCGGGACTGGGCTGCTGGGGAATCACACACACACGCGCACGAGCGCAAGGGAGCTCTACCTCCTGGGCTTCCTGCGGCTCCGATTCACTCTGCCCCATGGCGGCTCTGGGCTCCCCGGCTCAGCCCATCAGAGACTCTACAGGCAAGAGAGAGAGAGAAATTCATTCATCCATTCAATTTATTTATTTCATTCGATTTTAGACCGCTCAGGGCGGTGTACAACATAAATTCATGACAAATATAATTTTAAAACAGTTTAAAACGATAAAAACCCGTTACCTAGCCCTCCCCCCCCCCCCCGTGCGCCATGCTGGAACGCTGAAACACACGTGGGCAGCATACTGGGGCACGAAGTGCGGCCTCGCTCAGAGATCGGAGGATGGCTGGCCGGTTTCACGGGGTCCCACCGTTTACCCTGGCAGCTTCCCTGTTTTCTGTCCATGTTCTCCGAGGAGGAGCAGCCTGTGAGGTGTCGTGGAGCACTCAGGCCACGAAGACCCCGTGGTTCACGCCGGACCCAGGATGCCAGAGGTTCCGGCCACACCGGCCTCCGTCACAGGAGTCCCCCCCTCCACTCGTCCCACGTGCTCGTTTCAGAAGCCTGTCGGCTGGGACCTTCCAAGAGAAGCACGTGGCTTGCTTCCCGTACCCGTCCAGAGCCAGAGGGCCAGGGTGGGCCACACAGATAAAAAGGTCATGCCGCTTCATTGAGTAACGCCAATTCCCGCCACCACCGCCACCTGAGGGTTAGCCCACATTAAGAGGGGGCGGTGGCTTTCACAGTTAAGCCAATGAAGTCCCGTGAGAACTACCTGCTAGTGCAGCTTAGAGAGGGTGCTTAGGGAAAG